TTAATTTATTGCATAAACTTCAGAAAAGTGCAGAAAACTTTTTTGATTATTTGATATTACAAATATTAATTAAAACATTTAATTTTTACATAGAACTTTTTCTGTGAATGTTATAAAAATCTTATTTATTTGGGGATTTTTTGGGGGAGTGTACTGGAGATTAAATCCAGAGGCACTTTACCACTGAGCTACACCCCCAAGCTCTTATTTATTTTTATTTATTTGTTTGTTTATTTATTTATTTGCTGGGGCAGTACTCGGGATTGAACTCAGGGGCACTCGGCCACTAAGCCACATCCCCATCCCTATTTTGTATTTTATTTAGAGACAGGGTCTCACTAAGTTGCTTAGCTCCTTGCTTTTGCTGAGGCTGGCCTTGAACTTGCAATCCTCCTGCCTTAACCTACTGAGCCACTGGGATTACAGGCTTGTGCCACCCTGCCTGTCTATTTTTTATTTTAAGACCAAGTCTCACAAAGTTGCTTAGGGTCTTTTTAAGTTGGGATGCTGGACTTGAACTTGCTATCTTCTTCCTCAGCTTTGCTGGGATTATAGGAGTATACCACTGCACCCACCAAAATGTTATAAAAATTTTAAGTTTACTTGGACTTATTTTTTAAATATGTGTTTAGAAAGACTATTTTTTTCCCGAAACTTGAACATCTAACTTTAGTAAAATCACTAAATTAGGCTTTATTCACATAATTTAAAAATTTTATTATAGTATAGAACATGTCATAAAATTTACTTTTTAACCATTTTTAAGTGAATAGTTTAGCGTGTTAAATGTATTTGCATTGTTGTAAAGCCAAAATTGAAACTCTGTTTCTATTAAGCAACTTCTTTTCCCACCACTGGTAATAACCACCATACTACTTTCTTTATCTATGAATCTGACTATTTTATATATGGAAGCATACAGTTTTTATAATTTTCGTTCATAATAGTGTTCTCAAGTTTCATCCACGTGTATGACGTAGCAGTTTCCTTTTTTAAAACATGTCATTCTATTTTTTATACCTTTATTTATTTATTTATTTTTATGTGGTGCTGAGGATCGAACCCAGTGCCTCACACATGCTAGGCAAGTGTTCTACCACTGAGCTGTAACCACAGCCCTGCAGTTTGCTTTTTAAGGCTACATATGTATATATCACTTTTTTTTTTTTGTCCAGCCATCTGCTAATGGACATTTGAGTTGCTTCTACCTCTTGACTACTGTAATAGTGCTGCTGTGAACATTAGCGTATAAATAGCTCTTTGAGAGCCCAGATATAATCTTGGGGTATATATACCTAGAAATGAGATAACTAGATCACAGGGTAACTCTATTTTTAATTTTTTTAATTAAAATATTTTTGTGTGATGCCAGGGACTAACACTATACAAATTGGACTTCCAGGGCCTTTTGCATGCTAGGTAAGCACTTTACTATTGCACTCCACTCCTAGTCCTACCACAGTTACAATGCAGCAGTACCATACAGTTTTTCATAGCATTTGCACCATTTTACAGTGTGACCAATGATGCACAAGCGTTCCAACTTATTCACATCCCTTCCAACTGTTATTTATTTATTTATTTATTATAAAAACCCATCTTAATGGGGCCAAGGTTATATCTCATTATAGTGTTGATTTGCATTTTTGTGATCAGTGTTGTTGAGGATCTTTTGTATGCTTATTGGCCATGTGTATGTCATCTTTGGAGAATTATGTCTATTTAAATCTTTTGTCTTTTTTTTTTTTTTAAATCAAGGTATTAGATTGTTGCTGAGTTGTAGGAGTTCTTTATATATTGTGAATATTAGCTCCTTAATAGATATATTGTTTGTTTGCAGGTATTTTCTACCATTCCATATGTATGCTGTTGGTGTCTTTTTTAAAATATTTTTTTAATTGTAGATGGATACAGTACCTTTATTTTAGTTATTTATTTTATGTGGTGCTGAGGATTGAATCCAGTGCCTCACACATACCAGACAAGTACGCTACCACTAAGCCACCACCCAGCCCCTGGTTGTGTCTTTTGATGAACAAAAAATTTGTCAAACTTAAATAGGCTCAGTTGATTGCTTTTGTTATTTATGCTCTTGGGGTCATATCAAGAAGACATTGTCAAATTCAATATTGTGAAACTTTTCTCCTATGATTTCTTCTAGTAGTTTGAGAGTTTAGGGTCTTACTTTAAGTCTTCAATTTGTTGTGAGTTAATTTTTGTGTATGGTTTAAGGTAAGGGTCCATCTTCATTCATTTGCATGTAGATGTCTAGTTTTCTTAATATTGTTCTTGAGATTGTCCTTTCTACGTTGAGTGATCTTGATACCTTGTCAAAGATTAGTAGAACAGATATATGAAGAATATACCCAGAACTGGAGTTTACATATTTAAGTTTTATGTATTAAAGAAGGTACAGTCCCCAGACATTGTAATTATTAGTGACTGGTACTTGTGAAGTCTTGCTTCCAGTTACACTGTAAAAAGTAGTAGCTCACTTGCACTAAGACCCCACCTTTCCTGGTAGACACTGCACATAACTGCTGCCTGGATCATAGTCTTAGGATGGCACTAAACCAATTTTCTCTACTAAGTAGTGGTTTGTTACTAGTAGCATTAATTTAGCTATATTATTGACATTTATAGGTCAACTTAAGTATTTGGACACCATTGAAAAGTTAGGTACCATATGTGAGAAAATCTGTTTTAAATCCCAGACTTAATTGAAATTTTTTTTTAAGTACAGCAAAGATGTAAGCACATTTAAGAGCTAATAAGTGGAAATCCAAAGAATATTGTACACTAATGAAGTTAAGTGCTTCTTTACTCTCTTCTTTCCTTATTTCTACCCCACCCCACATACCGTTGTTTTTTGTTTTTTTTTTTAAACAGGGTGTCCCCATGTTGTTCAGGCTGGTCTTGAACTCCTGGCTCAAGAGACCATCCTACATCAGTTTTCAAAGGGCCAGGGCTGCATGAATATGCCACCATGCCAAGCTTCAGGGCCTCTTGATAAAACTAAGAGAAGGGTAGAGCGTAGCCGGTTTGTTGGACATTGGTATATGTAAAGAATAAGTTCTGCTGGTGCAGTCACACGTGCCTGCAATCCCAGCAACTCAGGAAGCTGAGGCAGGAGAATTGCAAGGCTAGGCAATTTATTGAGACCCTGTCTCAAAATAAAAAGTAAAGGGGGTTGAGAATGTAGCTCAATGATAAGAGAATCCTAGGTTCAATGCCCAGTACTGGAGGGGAAATAAAGAAAAAGAATGAGTTCTAATGCTATGATGGAAAAGGCTCAGGCAAGAGAAACAATATTCTGGTGCTCATCAGTAGACACAGGAAACAGTGCCTTTCCACTGAGGTAGGCAGACTCTTACTGTAACCTTACTGATCCCCTTTCATTGACTGACCATTAAACTTAAGTTTAAGATATATGTAATGATTTATGTACTACATATTTCCCAGTTTACAAGTAAAAGCTATAAAGATTTTTTACTCAGAATTTTATGCAGTTAGAAGATTGCACCCTCATTCGGCTGACTTAATCCTGTAAAATTGTTAACACTAAATCCTATGACTGAATTCAGTTAATGTTTATAGGCAGTGATTGTTGAAAAGAGTTTTTAGATTACAAATAAATTGCATGTATGATAGCTAAACTAAGTTTATGTTTCAGTCACATCAATGATTAATTCTTTAAAGGGTACTTATTGCATAGCAAAAATATTTAAAGTTTTGTTTTAGATCTGAATTGAAAATACAAATAGGAACTATCCCTGGCTTATGTAAATGTTTTGTTTCTTTATCTAAGGCCTGATTTCACAGATTTCCTTTCTTGACACTGTGCAATTTTTTAAGATGACTTCCAAGTTAAAGCTAGAATCTGAGTACCACTGATTTTAAATCTGCCATTGCTTTTCAAAAGACTACTGTAAAACAATATCTAAAAAAAAATATTTTTATAATGATGTCCTAATGAAGAACATATTTTTAAATATCCCTCTGTCTCTAACATGTAGTAATATTACTGTTGTATTTATTCTCTCAAGTGTGCTAAATGCATAGGTACAGTAACTTTCTCAGTAACATTCCCAACTGAGGGAAATACATAATCAAAAACATAGGGGCATAAGAATCTATTACCAAAATCATCAGCAACTTTCCACTACTGAAATGTAGATAATATAAGGATATGTGGTATACAAGAAAGCTAAATAGTGGAATAAATCCAGATGCTACTTAACAAATGAACCTAATTCAGAAGGGTCAAGTTGCTGAAATTCTAGTGAATGTCTTTACCAGGATTTTAATCCAGATGTGTCTATTCCAGGTTTCAAACTCTTATTGGCTATATTATGCTACCTTTAGATATGCACATACAATCATTCTACCTGTTCATACATGCCTTTTACTGAAATAAAAAACACTTTGACATAAAATAGTGTTTGATGTAACAGTCTTTACAGTAGTATCATAACTTAGGAAGTAGTCTCATAACTATCATAAAATTCCCATTAATAGTATATCAATATTGGAAAATACAGATAAAAAAGACTGTAAAATTAATTTTACTTCCTGTACATAACCATTGCATGTTTTTAAACACTTTCTGTGCTTATATGTATTTAAGTGATTATGTAAATGATTATATATAATCATTTATATGTATTTAAGTGATTATATATAAATCTTCCCTTTTCACTTAGCGTGAACATGTTTTTATATTTAGAATTTAAGAGTAACTGTAAACCGTACCATAATTTATAAACTACAGCACCACAGTAAACATTAGATGTTTACTAATCTGTCTTTGTGCATATCTCCTTAAGAAGAATATTTTTGAAGCAACTGTTGATTCAAAGATTTGTACATTTTTAGGCCTTAGACCTTACTGAAGTATGAAGAATGCTGAATTCCTCATCTCTAATATTTATTGCAAAGGTTTTCTTCCTCCCTATGTAGAGATTTTGAGTAACATGATGACCAACTTACTTTGTTTTCAGGAGATGATTTTTCTTTGATTCAACAAGAAATATTTATGGTTAAAGAATGTAAACATTGCAACATTGTTGCCTACTTTGGAAGCTATCTCAGGTAAGAAACAAACAAAGCATCTGCTCTTTCTGTATTTTATATCTTCTTTGCTACCACTCTCCTTCCTTTTCAGGTAAGTGCCATTGTATGTGGGAACTTTTAAATTACACTATCCAAAGTTGTAAAATTTTTAGGGCTTTCTTTTAATTTCTCTATTATATTGATTAAACTACCTCCTTTATTTGGTTATACCTTAGGGCAACCTTAATGAAATATTATGAATGATTAAAGTATTTATCTTACAAAAAACTATTCATAATCTAAACCTTTAAGATGGGAACTAAACTGAAACTGATGTGCTTTCCTGCATATTGAAGAGAGATTGCTACAGCAGTTTCCTGTTACCCTCTGCACTATATCCTGACTCTTGATGTATGGAAGAGTGTAAGCCTTAGAATACTTACTTCAGTGATTGAAAATTACCAGCTAATATAATTTTCTCTTCATAATAGTCGAGAAAAACTGTGGATTTGTATGGAATACTGTGGTGGCGGATCACTTCAAGATATTTATCATGGTACTGTGAATTTAACTTTATACTTTAAAATTGACTTTGACATTAATGATTATTGTTTAACATTTCCAGTCACCCGGGAAATTAATATGTAGAGATTTACTCTTTTATATTCTTTTGTTCTGTTCCCAGAGTACTGCATAAAAGAAACCTAAGATTTTTGTTGTTGGTGGAGCCAGAACCAAGAAATTCAAAAGCATTTTTACAATCCAAATTTTACTTTTTAGTTTTTTTTAGATGTAGTCTCTAGGAAAGTGTTTTGTTTACTAATGAAACTGCCTAACCTCCCTTACAAGAATTGAAATGTAAAGAGTAATTCACAAGGGAAACTATGTATCTATCTTAATAATTTAACTGTCTAACCGGAAAAATAGTTCACTTGTTACTGTAATAACTTTGCATTAAAATGTATAATTATTTTTAAAAATTGGAGAATTTTATTTAGTATTCTGTTAATTAGGCAGTTTTTTTTAGTTGACTTTGCTTAATAATAATATTTAGAAATAATTTGGCTCTATAGTTAGTTTCCAATTTGTTTTGTTATTTACAATGTCTTGAATTTTCTAGAATTTGTAAAATTAAGATTGTGTCCTTAAAACATATTTTTTCTTGTTTAACATGCATGTGAGATAGTAAAACTCCCATTGCAACTATGCCTAGTTTGTTATTTATTCTTAGTCTGTTATTAAATTATGTGGCTGTGGTGTACACCTGTAATCCCAGAGGCTCTGGAGGCTGAGGCAGGAGGATTACAAGTTCAAGGCTAGCCTCAGCAACTTAGTGAGTCCCTTCAGCAACTTAGCAAGACTCTGTTTCAAAATAAAAAGGACTAGGGATGTGGCTCAGGAGTTGAGCATCCCTGGGTTCAATTCCTGGTAACAAAAAAAAAAAAAAAGAAGAAGAAGAAGAATTATGTGAAATATTTTAAAATATTTTTATTTTGAATTTTTACAATGGAAGCCTTATTGAATTTTAGCCATGTAATTTTCAAATGTAGCCATAATATAAAAACAGAAGTGATGTTTCAGTTTATATAATATTTTATAACTTGTAGAAGTCAAAGTTTAAAAAAAAACTCAGTAGACTATCAGTTGAATAAACTATACTGTACTTGTGATATGGAATATTTTGTAGCACTTAAAACAATGAAATGGCTTTGTATATTGACTTAAATAATCCTCAATAATAAATATAGCATGGTTAATCATACTAAAGCTTTCAAAAATTATTTTTTTGTAAGTATACATATGAATGAATGTAAATGCAAGCAAAACAAAAGGCTGCATTCCAGACAGATGTCAGTACTCCTAAGGAGGGAAAGCAGGACTCAGATATAAAATTCTGAATTATAATAAAAATTAATTGATATATTACTTCATTATAAACTTTTAATATAGTAGTTATCTAATTTTTATAACAAATAACCCATAACAAAAAGGTGCTGGTCACTATCTCTTTATTTTTTTAACAAAAAGGTTTACCACATAAATGTTACACATAGACATTACAATTTCTACTCTTAAGAATTTCAAAATAAGAACAAATCCCACTTTAAAAAAAACAAATGCTTAATCTCTTATTTAGTAGTCTTTCATTTTCTTATATAATGCAAAATTGGAATGACTGTTCTCTTTTATCCTGTTTTTGGTTTTAAAGAATTATCAGTAAGCTAGGCACAGTGGCACCTGCCCATAATCCCATCTACTCAGGAGACTGAGGCAGGAGGATTACAAGTTCAAGGCCAGCCTCAACAATTTAGCAAAACTCTGTCTCAAAATAAAAAGGACTGGCAATGTAGCTCAGTGGTCGAGATCAGTAGATTCAATCCCCAGTATTGCTAAAAAATAAAGATTATTGGTAGAAAACAGTTCTATGCTACTGATTTAAAATCCTTATCTATGATTTTATGAAGAATAATAATCTTTATATGAAGTTTTTATTTAATTGTAATTTTTATCTGTTTACACTTTTATAAAATGAGAACTCTTAAAAATATGGATAAAATTAAACTATACAGATGGCAGTTTTTACTGCTTTCCCTTTTAATTTTAAAAAGTTATTTTGAGACATCAATTTTATTCCTTCATAAAATTGCTGTTAATTGGAGTCCAAGAAGTGTGCATTTCTATAAATAGTATCCTAAAAAAACAGTAGTCAAGAATATCTACACTTGGGCTGGGGATGTGGCTCAAGTGGTAGCGCGCTCGCCTGGCATGCGTGCGGCCTGGGTTCGAACCTCAGCACCACATACAAACAAAGATGTTGTGTCCACCGAGAACTAAAATAAATAAATAAATAAATATTTAAAAAAAAAAAAAAAGAATATCTACACTTATAAATTAAATGCTATTAATAAAGTGGTTTGTATTACTACTAGTCCATACATTTACTAAGAATCAGAGTTTTATTCCTAAGTAGGTGTAGAAACACAGTGATGAAAATGTGCAGTGAAATGTTTTTCTAGGCAGAGATTACCTGTAACTACCTGGGTTTCACTGTCAGCAAACACCATCCCAGATTTTCTCTCATGGTATTGAAAGACAGAGTTCCAAAGTCTCTTATTAGGTACTTGCATAAGATGGATTTTATAGTTCATATTAGGGAGGGAGAGATCTGGTTGCCAAAAGTGATCTGGCTACTGTTAAATTCTCAGATAAGGTACCCGATCAAGCCTCCCTGTCTTGACAGGTGTGGTAAAGAATTATGCTAAAGAGATAATATCTTGATGTTTAAAAAAGTGATGTTGCTTTTCAGTGTTTCAGTAACCAAACTGTCTATGCTTGATAAACATATATAACTAACTGTCATTAGTTATATATGTTTATCAAGTTTCTTGGCTTTATTTTTAAAAAAATTTTCAGAATTGAGATCATATTATGTCCATTGCTTTCTACAGAACTTCCTATTCACACTTAATGGGCGCTTAATATTTTCACTTACTAAAGTTATTATGGAATAATTCTCTTATTTTTAGAGTACATTTTCAGTCTCAGTGTTACCTTTTCTTGTTTTGTTTTGTTTCTTGATTACAAAGATAATGTATGTTCCTGGTCAGAAGAGAAGTCATTCAGTGAAATATAGAGAAGTTTTACAATAGTTTGTCATTTAAAAAAGTAGACTATTTTTAATTTGTTATGTTCAAACATATGACAATGTGGTCTTTTTCTTTCTAGTTACTGGACCATTATCAGAATTGCAAATAGCCTATGTATGCAGAGAAACCTTACAGGTACTATGTTTGCTTATGTAGATAGGCAATTCTGGTTCATAATCAATAACTATAGAGAAAGGGTAAGCCAAAATGATTTTTTAATTCCCATCTCATAGTATAGTTCTGTAAAACTAGTTGTATTTTTTCATGAGCAAGTCACAAGAATTCACTTAAGCTGATGCTGACATATGCAGTGGTGGTAAGCAGTGTTCTGCTTTCATGCTAATACAAGTGATCATTTAAAGTAGTCTGCTTTGTTGCTTGACCCACATTGCTACAAAGCTAAGGAAAGCCATGGGTACAAATTTGTTTTCATGAATGAATCACCAGACTTCTCAATTGTAAAATTGTCTAAGGTTTCCCTTGAAGTTTTATAGCAGTGAAAGTTATCTCTTCCAGAGAATATGAACCATTTCTCCCAAAATAAACTAAATTTTCACAGTAATAACCCAGAGCATTAGCTGGAATACCTAATTCTGTGGGATATTAATATATGTCATTGGAAACAGAACCCCTTTCTCTAAGTTTGTGTTAAACAAATGGCTTTGCTTCTTCAGGAACTGTGGGAGCTTTTAGTATACTAAAGTGGATCGGCAGTAGAGGTATAGGGCATGTCGCTTGCCTATTTATTTATTTATTTATTTATTTATTTATAGTTCCCTCGAAGACTACTCATTGAGAAAATTAGCAATTAATAACTTTGTTCATATACTTTAAGGCATTTAGATGAGGAGGAGGAATTAAGTAGTAACTGTAGGGTTTTTGTCTTCATTTTTTAAAAATTTATAACTGATAATTATTAATTGATAATTTTATATGTGGCTCTTCTATATTTTAGAAACTAGGAGTTTGAACAGATCTAGGAGAGAGTTCTAATTAGTTTATAAAGTTAGTTTCCATGTAGTTTTAAAAAAGGGTACATCATGCCAGATCTTACTGTGAAATATATGAAAGTAAATTTAGTATTTATGTTCATGTGCATGTATATGCGTGTGTGTGTGTGTGTGTGTAGTCATCATTTGGTATCCATGGGGAATTGGTTCCAGGACACTTTAAGATACCAAAATTGGCACATCCTCAAATCCTTTATATAAAATTGTATAATATTTGGGCTGGGACTTTAGCTCAGTGGCAGAGCACTTGCGCAGCATGTATGAGGCACTGGGTTCAATCTTCAGCACCACATTAAAAAATAAATAAATTAAATAAAGACATGCTGTCTATCTACAACTATAAAAAAATTTTTTAAATAGTGTAATATTTGCTTGTGACCTATGCACATCCTCTTGTACACTTCAGATCATTTCTAGATTACTTATAATACCTAGGACAATATAAGTGCTATATAAATAGTTGTTAATACTGTATTGTTTAAGGATGACAAAAAAAAAAAGAGTATGTTTAGGACAGACTTTTTTCCCAAAAAGTATTTTAGTTCATGGTTGGTTAAATCCATGAATGCATAAATCATGGATATGGAGGGCTAACTTTATAGTTTTCCCCAAGGTATTTATATAACATAAAAATCTATTATATTTACATAAAATATAAACCTAACCACGTACTCATAGTAGAGAATTATTGATAAATTCATTTTCTTCATATTTTAATTTCCAAGTTCATTGTTTCTTTAAGAGTGGAAGTGAAAAAACAGCAGCTTGGATTTCATTCTATATCTGATATATAACCTTAGCTTATATGGTTCTAGTTCCCCAAATATAATGAGCTTTGTAGGAAATGATTTCTAAATTTAAATTAGTTTCAGTTTAACAGATTTCCACATCTGGTATAAATGGAGTAACAGAGTAACAGTACCTTGTTCCCTGAAACAATCAGAGAAACTAGGAAACATATATGAAATAGTGGTTTTTAAAAACTGGACATAGAGGCTGGGATGTAGCCCATTAATAGAGTACTTGCCTAGCATGCATGAAGCCCTGGCTTTGATCCTGAGCATCACAAAAGAGAGATGACATCAAGTATTAAAGGCCTGAGAGAGAGAAAACAAGGAGCAGGCCCTGGTACAGGGAGGAAGAACCCAAGTTTGGTGCAGGGAGACCAAGGCAGCTAGAGTCTTCAGTATAAAGTACTGGAGAGTATTTATAAAAATCCAGAAACATATCAGCCAGGTGTGGTGATGCATGCCTTTAATCCTAGCCAACTCGTGATGCTGAGGCAAGAGGATTGCAGGTTCGAGGTCAGCCTTAGCAATTTAGGGAGATCCTGTCTCAAAAAAATAAAATAAATAAGGACTGGAAATGTGGCTCAGGGATAAAATGTCCCTAGGTTCAATCCCTACCACCTGCCCCTAAAATCCAAAAATATGCAGTACCCAAAGAGCAAAGTTCATAGTGTTGGGTGTCCAAAGATTACCAGAAAGGCAAAGAAGTAGAATAAGGAGAAATAAATGAAGCTAACTCACAACTGATAAGATGATAGAATTAGCAAATAAGATAAGAAAGCAATTTAAGTTGAGGTACAGAAGATGTTTTTTTTTTTTTTTTTTTTTTAAAGTTAATTTCTTTTTTTTTTTTTTTTATTGTTGGTTGTTCAAAACATTACATAGTTCTTGATATATCATCTTTCACACTTTGCTTCAAGTGAGTTATGAACTCCCATTTTTAGCCCATATACAGATTGCAGAATCACATCAATTACACATCCATTGATTTACATATTGCCATACTAGTGTCTGTTGTGTTCTGCTGCCTTTCCTATCCTCTACTATCCCCCCTCCCCTCCCCTCCCCACCCTTCTTCTCTCTCTACCCCCCCTATTGACCTTCATTTCTCCCCCTTGTATTATTTTTCCCTTTCCCCTCATTCCCTCTTGTATGTTCTTTTGTATAACCCTGAGGGTCTCCTTCCATTTCCATGCAATTTCCCTTTTCTCTCCCTTTCCCTCCCACCTCTCATCTCTGTTTAATGTTAATCTTCTTCTCATGCTCTTCGTCCCTACTCTGTTCTTAGTTACTCTCCTTATATCAAAGGAGACATTTGGCATTTGCTTTTTAGGGATTGGCTAGCTTCACTTAGCATAATCTGCTCTAGTGCCATCCATTTCCCTGCAAATTCTATGATTTTGTCATTTTTTAATGCAGAGTAATACTCCATTGTGTATAAATGCCACATTTTTTTAATCCATTCGTCTATTGAAGGGCATCTGGGTTGGTTCCAAAGTCTTGCTATTGTGAATTGAGCTGCTATGAACATCGATGTAGCAGTGTCCCTGTAGCATGCTCTTTTTAGGTCTTTAGGGAATAGACCAAGAAGGGGAATAGCTGGGTCAAATGGTGGCTCCATTCCCAGCTTTCCAAGAAATCTCCATACTGCTTTCCAAATTGGCTGCACCAATTTGCAGTCCCACCAGCAATGTACAAGTGTACCCTTTTCCCCACATCCTCGCCAGCACTTGTTGTTGTTTGACTTCATGATGGCTGCCAATCTTACTGGAGTGAGATGGTATCTTAGGGTGGTTTTGATTTGCATTTCTCTGACTGCTAGAGATGGTGAGCATTTTTTCATGTACTTGTTGATTGATTGTATGTCCTCCTCTGAGAAGTGTCTGTTCAGGTCCTTGGCCCATTTGTTGATTGGGTTGTTAGTTATCTTATTGTCTAATTTTTGGAGTTCTTTGTATACTCTGGATATTAGGGCTCTGTCTGAAGTGTGAGGAGTAAAGATTTGTTCCCAGGATGTAGGCTCTCTATTTACCTCTCTTATTGTTTCTTTAGCTGAGAAAAAACTTTTTAGTTTGAGTAAGTCCCATTTGTTGATTCTAGTTATTAACTTTTGTGCTATGGGTGTCCTATTGAGGAATTTGGAGCCCGACCCCACAGTATGTAGATCGTAGCCAACTTTTTCTTCTATCAGACGGCGTGTCTCTGATTTGATATCAAGCTCCTTGATCCATTTTGAATTCACTTTTGTGCATGGCGAGAGAAAGGGATTCAGTTTCATTTTGTTGCATATGGATTTCCAGTTTTCCCAGCACCATTTGTTGAAGATGCTATCCTTCCTCCATTGCATGCTTTAAAGCAGAAGATGTTTTTTTTAAAAAAAAAAAAAAGGCCAAAATCAAACTTCTAGGGATGAAAACTACAATGTATGATGAACTCAACAAGGGATGGAATTAATGGTAGTTTAGATATTGAAAAATACACATATGTGAGTGTGTGTTTGTATGTATATGTACATTTGTGGGAATTTGAGGGTATGTTTGTAAAAAAATGTATCCAAAATGAAGCACAGAAATAAATGATTTTTTTAAAAAATGAAAAGCCAGGCATGGTATTAGAAGCTCATAGTTCCAACAACTCAGAAGGCTCAAGTCAGAAGATTGCTTGAGACCAGGACTTCAGAGCCAATCTGGGAAACACAAGACCTGATCTCAAAAAATAAAATTATTAAAATGTAATTTCAGGTGACCTAATATTTGTATAGTTTTTCTTACTGAGGGAGAAGACAAAAAGGGGGAGAAAGGAATGAAAACAATATTTGAAAAGTAAACATGGCTGATATTTCTCCAAATTTATTGAACACTCTTAATTCATAGACTCCAAGCATAAAACAAACCAAGGATAGGAAACATGGGGGGAAAAGCGTACTAAGGAATATCATCACCAAATTGCTCATTTGATAATGAGAAAACCTTAGAAATACTTAGAACAAAAGAATCCATTACATGCAAACAAAAAGATGATGGCAGGATTATTATTAGAAACAGTTAAGACAACAGTGGAGAGCCTAAAGGTAGAAAGAAATTGTTGATCTAGAGTTCAATATGTAGAAAAAATATCTTTTAAAAATAATTTTTTCAGGGGCTAGGGTTGTGGCTCAGCGGTAGAGCGCTTGCCTCGCACATGTGAGTCCCTGGATTTGATCCTCAGCACCACATAAAAATAAACAAAATAAAGATATTGAGCCCATGTAGAACTTAAAAAAAAATAGTTTTTCATACGTATAAAAGCCAAAAGAACTAAGAGAAGGACTCTTTTGGGGATGATAAATGCATTCATTCAAAATTATGTTTTAGTAAAATATTTCCAATTTTTATCAGAAAATGAATTAAAAATCTTTAAGATATAGTAAATGTTGATTAGTAAAAAGAAACTCTTCTAATTTTTATGCCTCTAAGAAAGATATTCTATTCTAGTTTTTTTATTCAGTGACAACTAAGTAGAAAATTTTGGAGTCAACTTTGTAATTTTGCTAACACATACTTTTTTTTTTTAAACCTCAGGGTCTTGCCTATTTGCATACTAAAGGCAAAATGCATAGAGATATCAAAGTAAGTTCATTTACTATGTTTAAATTGCTAATTGTATTGGAAGAAATTTTTGATGCTAATTTAATAGAATTTGTATTTTTGTTTTAGGGTGCAAATATTTTATTGACAGACCATGGTGATGTAAAATTAGGTATGTTATTTCAGATTTTTAAATTTTTTTCAAAAAATATAATGAAATTTTAGATGAGAATTGACGTTTAATTTTAATATTCATATTGAATCACAATAATGTTTATACTTTAGCCCAGTAATATTTATTCCTGAGACTCAGTTTATAGAAGTTAATCCTAAAGATGAAAAGACCAGATTTATATAAGTATTTAGTCATTATTACTTATAGTAGAAAAAATAGAAACCTAAGTCTAGCAATAGAAAAACTGTTAAACTACATTTTATCACTCATGGAATATTATCCAATCAGCAATTTTTTTTAATATATGAGAGTACAATCGCCTGATATATTAAATGAAAAAAATGAACTAGATGTGTATTTGTTTTTTTATAACTCTTTTTAATGACAAAACAATATAAAAAATTATATTTAGAAAAAAAGTCCTTTTTTTTTTTTTTTTTTAACCTTTTGGTACCAGGGATTGTACTCATGGGCACTCTACCACTGAGCCACATCCCTATTTTCTATTTTTTATTTGAGACAGGGTCTCACTGAGTTGCTAAGCACCTCGACATTGCTGAGGCTGGCTTTAAACTCGAGATACTCCTGTCTTAGCCTCCCAAACCATTGGGATTATAGGTGTGCGCCACCGCACCCAGCAAAAAGGACATTTTTAAAAATAGTTTTATCTGTTGTTAAGATAAAAAGGAATTCAGAAATGTGTCTTTCCCATTTGTTTTAATGGTTTTGTTGTTGTTGTTGTTGTTGTTGTTCTTCCCCAAATTTACTTCAGTAAGCCTGTAATGAAAATATTTTTATTCACTTTGTTCTTAATAAAGTACATTTTCACTATAGTAAAATGCTATTGAATTCTTTTATTGAGTTTGTTATAAACTAGGAAATATTTAGGTATTCAATTTATGTACAATTACCTGATGTAAATATCTGAACTATTAATAATGCTATGCCTATAACATTACTGAAACTGAAACTTAGAAACATCACTTGTTCTGAAAAGAATTAGAATTTTCTGTTCTGTTCTTTTTCCTCATTAGCTGATTTTGGGGTTGCTGCAAAAATAACAGCTACTATAGCAAAGCGAAAATCTTTCATTGGCACACCTTATTGGTAAGAGATTACTGTGATTGGTACATTTTTATCTCTTCATGGTTAATGATCAATCTCTATACTTAATAATTCCAGTTACTGGCAAGTTACTCTTTCTAAAATACTGTCTTAGTATTTTAGAAAGAAATACAATAGGAGACATGGCAATAAATCTTAATATGTAAAATAATTTAGTTATTGCAATAGAAATTGACAATTCATATAAAGGATTAGATTCTTTAATAAGCAGATAATAATTTAGATAATTTATTATTCACAAAGTAGCTCCATACTTCATACCTAATGCCAAAATAGTCATCAGTAATTATCTGCTTTAAGAGTTGAAGAAGCTTTCTTGGCATAAAACCTTAAAGGGAAAGATTGATCACTTTTTACATGAAAATTTAAAACAAGGATGTCTGCCACCTTAAAATTTAAGTAATAAAACAGGAAATACTGGCTAAAATATGCCACCCTAGGTTTAATACTTCAATATGTAAGTTCTTAAAAGTCAGTAGACTGTTTTATTAAAAGCAGAATTATTAAATTAATATATATAAGAAGTCACAAAATATGAAAAGTGTTTCCCTTGATGAACAAAAATATAAAGTGAACAATGATATTCTTTTCTATCAAATTGGAAAACATCTGGAATCATGAATAATCCCCTCTATCACTAAATATTTGTGAAAATTGATAGAAAATTTTTGAAGAAACTGAAATTGATTATCATGCATGTATGAGTTTGTCAGGATGAACCCAAACTGTGTATAACCTTAAAGTTCTAATAAAAAAAATAAATAAAGTAAGCCTATGTTATTGCAAACTCAATTTAATTAGGAATGATGCAGAAAAGTCCTCTGTAAACTGAATACTTTATTCAAAGTGTTTATACATAGCCCAGAATAAATTGTTGCTTGTCTGGGAAAAATAAATAAATAATAAGTTGAGAGAAAAGAAATTTTTTTTTTTGAAAAGTAATTTAGCTGTGATGTTTTCAAAAATCATAAGCAACTTTTGGGAGTTTAAAAACTTTTTTTTATTTTCGGTAATGAAGCTTGAACCCAGGGGTGCTTTACAACTGAGTCACCTCCTGGAATAAGTTAAGAAAATCATATACATCTTCTCAACTCAAAGGAAGAATATGCTAAAAATGTTAAACATTATGTTGTAAAAGATGAATAGTCAGTGGATTAAGCTTATGGCAGATTACTAATCAAAATATCAAGATTAAAAGTAGCATATGTGGACTGGGGTTGTAGCTCAGTGGTAGAGCAGTTGCCTAGCATGTGTGAGGCACTGGGTTTGATTCTCAGCACCACATATGAATAAAAAAATGAAGGTCCATTAACAATTTTTAAAAGTAGCATATGCAAGGGAATTTAAAAGCTGTGTTTTATAAAAGACATGTTTAAGTTTGAAATATGAATGAGAATGTGTGAAAGAATGACTGTTTTGGTTGAGATTGTGCTTCACTTGTTTTCCATATTTTTTTCATGTATTCCAAATTCTCTTCAGTTATCATATACTGCTTTTAATAACAGGAAATCCCCAGTAAATGTTATATGAAAATGCAGGTAAGTTGGGTTATCTATAGAATTCCCTTCAGTGAAATTCCCATTTCCCTCTTCTGTTGTAAACACTCTTCTCCAGTCAGAATTTTTTGGTTTTCTACCCTGATCATACTATGTGAAATACTGCTACTTTAGTTGTATTTGTTACCTCTTCACGAATACCTTTTCCTGTTTTTTATGTTAAGTTCTCCCCATTGCAAAGAGTGACACACACTCTGCTTTTCATCACCTATGGAAAACTGATGGGTCAGCAGCTAAGCCAGGAAGCACAACAGTGTTAGCCTGGCATTCCTGTTAGCCACCACTAAATGATTCTAGTGGGCAGAGAAAATGAAATTGATTTGCTTTTTCTGTGCTCCAGCTCAACCTTTCCTGTATGAAACTTGCCTTTAATCTTCAGCTCCATAGTAATAATTTTCTTCTCTTCAGTCCTGGATCCATTAGTATGTATATAGAACTCACATGTGGTATATACATTTATAGGTTAGCATTTTTAGTATATATCTTACATATCATTAACCACACTTGAGTTGAAAGTGTGTTAAGAGAACTTTCGATGTTCATAGCAGCACAATTCACAATAGCTAGACTGTGGAACCAACCTAGATGCCCTTCAATGGATGAATGGATAAAAAAAAATGTGGCATTTATACACAATGGAGTATTACTCTGCATTAAAAAATGACAAAATCATAGAATTTACAGGGAAATGGATGGCATTAGAGTAGACTATGCTAAGTGAAGCTAGCCAATCCCTAAAAAACAAATGCCAAATGTCTTCTTTGATATAAGGAGAGTAACTAAGAACAGAGTAGGGTCGAAGAGCATGAGAAGAAGATTAACATTAAACAGGGATGAGAGGTGGGAGGGAAAGGGAGAGAGAAGGGAAAATGCATGGAAATGGAAGGAGACCCTCAGAGTTATACAAAAGTACATACAAGAGGAAGTGAGGGGAAGGGGAAAAATAATATAAGGGGGACAAACGAATGTCAGTAGAGGGAGCAGAGAGAGAAGAGGGGAGGGGAGGGGAGGGGAGGGGAGGGGGGATAGTAGAGGATAGGAAAGGCAGCAGAATACAACAGACACTAGTATGGCAATATGTAAATCAATGGATGTGTAACTGATGTGATTCTGCAATCTGTATATGGGGTAAAAATGGGAGCTCATAACCCACTTGAATCAAATTGTGAAATATGATATATCAAGAACTATGTAATGTTTTGAACAGCCAACAATAAAAAATTTTTAAAAAAAAGAGGACTTTTTGTAACTTAAATGCATATAAAAGCAACTTGTGGATATTCAATATAAATATAAGTTAATTCTAAATAGTAAATGTTGAAATAAAAAGAACATTTCTCCTGGGTGGTATCATTTGTACTGTATAATGTCAGATGCCATCATACACCTCTTACTCCCAAGTAACTGCAACTCAGCTACTCAGTTGACCTTCAGTCTTCTATATACTTGATAATAGCTCTACTTAAGGAGCATTTTATACTCAAGTCAATATCTTCAGTCAGCCCTTTTTATCCTATTCATTCTACTATAGCCTTCTAAAAGTCCTTTTTCTTTTTTCCTTGGTATACTTGAAATAGTTCTCAAACTCACCTATCTGACTGTTTTTTCCTCCTCTCACACTGTCCTTCATGTTGTCATGAGTTCTGGATTAAGATTGCTGTCATAATTGAGTCTTTCAAGGGGGTCTAGAAAATCTAAATAAACATTTCTTTTGTAATCAGTAGGTCATTCATAATCTAGCTTTGACTTCTAAGGTTTAGTTTCCGAACACTCTCTAGACCCTTTAAACATCTGTTGCAAAGGATAATATTTTTCCATTTCCTATCACAGGCATACTTTTATAAGATAAAATAAAAATGAATTGCTAAAAATTGATCATACATTTGGACAAGGGAGAATGCTTACTCTTTCAGTACTTATTGCTGAATGATAACTAGCTGTGTACAGCCCATCTCATCTATGGATCACACATACTGAGTTGCCCTGCACCAGCAGCCCTTTAGGTGATTCACATGCTTTCCTTGTCTTCCTGCATTTGCAATCTGAAGTGACTCTTCACTCAACTTAGCTCCCTGCTGATTCATTTTTTAAGTCTTATCTCAATTGGGAAGTTTTCTGTGATCTTCACAGTGTTTTAGGTATTCTTTTTCATTTTCCTGTATTACATAACAAGATTCACCTAACACAAACTAAAGTAAAAAGCAAGGTTTTTCTCATATCACCAGTATTCAAGATTTTTAAATAATAAATTTTAAAAGAATATGTATATGTGTGTATGTGAGAGAATGTGTGTGTGTGTGTGTGTTGTGTGTGTGTGTGTGTTAAGTCTTTCCTGGTGAAGTTTCTTCTTTCCCAGTAAAGAGCTCTTAGCTTATTTTCCGTCCAAATCTAATGGTTATAACAAGAAGTAGTATTTTTTTGAAAATGAAAATATTATGTTCACTCATTGGTTCTAGGATGGCTCCAGAAGTTGCAGCAGTAGAGAAGAATGGTGGCTATAACCAACTCTGTGATATCTGGGCTGTGGGAATAACTGCAATTGAACTTGGAGAACTTCAACCACCTATGTTTGATCTTCATCCAATGAGGTGTTTTCATTATTTATAATTATGCAGTTATCAGGGGGCTGGGATTGTGGCTGAGAGGTAGACTGCTCTCCTAGCACTGGGTTCAATCTTTAGCACCATATAAAAATAAAAATAAAGATATTGTGTCCACTCATAACTGAAAAATAAATATTTAAAGAAAATTATGCAGTTATCAATCAGGTCTTTGGAAACCTTGTGATACTGGGATTACACTTATTTTAATTATGTCAGAATAGAAAAACTATTGTAAAGGACTGGTAAGTAATTACATTCAAACACTGCTTGGTTACATTGCTGCTCCTCAAACAGAGTGAGTTGCCTGCATTGTTTGAAGTTTTTCCGTAAAATATTTTTCCTTAATAATCAGAATAGGACATGCCAGTTATTATTAAATAAGTCTTTTGGAGTCTTTATTTTCATTCCTCCATTAATTGATGTTGTTTCTTGTCCTATATGAAATGGTAAAATGCACAAGAGATTTTATTTTACTATCTCATTTGATTTTCTTTCTCTTACTCTGTCTAGGAATTATGAAGAAATAACTATGCTTAGAATAATTATCATATATCTTAGGATATATTGTCATTCAGAAATAAATATTTGAGGGCTTTTGAAAGTTTTTTTCCTATTTTGAAGGACAGATATATGGGACCAAAATTTAACTTTAAATGGTAGAAAATCAAAGGGAAAATTAAAATGGGGAAAATGTTCTCTTAATGTATGACCAACCATGGAGTAATGTGTGCTACATAAGGAACTCATATAAAGACATTAGGAGAAAGAGTATTTAGGAGCAAGTATCAGGTAAAGAAACATAGGGGAAAACTAAAACTACACAAGTTAAAAGATATCTACTGTTATCTTGATTGCCAATAGGTACAGACTTTGAGGGAAATAACTTTATGTTATTTGTTAAGGGCCATACAAATATTTTAGTTATTCTGCTACTAAGAAAATTATACTTAGGAAATAATTCAAGGATTAAGAATTATTAATTTTAGAATAATAGGAAAAAATCTAAATGATAGTTGCTGAATTATTAAGTTGTTTAGCAGTTAGGGGTAGCTCTTGAATATGTGTATACCAAAGGAACATGGAAAATTGATTAGTGATTTAAAATTAGAACACATAATAATAATAATGCAATAATTGATTAGCATTTAAATAAATACAAAGAAGTGCAGAAAATTTAAAATACTAGAATGGCAAGAATATACATAATATAGATTTTTTTTCCTTTGAATCATTTCATTTTTAAAATGAGAAAATATCTACTATGTTTAAAACAAAAAAGTTTACTTAGAATCCTGGAAGGGGTTTTTGTAGGAAATACTAAAATGAAGCACTTTAAAAATTCCCTCTTAAGTCTTCCATCTTTCTACTCCATAGTACAAAGGAAAATGGGTCAAAGATGAATTCAACAGAGATTGACATTTCTGTAATATATTCTTAAAGGAAGTAGGTGCAATTTGCCTATACACTCAAATAATTGTTGAAGTCAATCTTTGGTTAAATGTACAACCAACCTAAAGTTAGAATAATATATCTCTATGTGTCCCAATGGCATTCCTCATAGAAATAGAAAAAGCAGTCATGAAATTCGTCTGGAAAAATTAGAGACCCAGAATAGCTAAAGCAATCCTTAGCAGGAAGAGTGAAGCAGGGTAGCATCACTATACCAGACCATAAACTATACTATAGAGCAATAGTAACAAAAACAGCACCAAAACAGACTGGCACACCAATGGTACAGAATAGAGGACACAGAGACTAACCCACAAAATTACAATTATCTTATATTAGGCAAAGGTGCCAAAAACATGTATTGGAGAAAAGATAGCCTCTTCAACAAATGGTGCCGGGTAAACTGGAAATCCATATGCAACCAAATGAAATTAAACCCCTATCTCTCACCATGCACAAAACTCAAAATGGGTCAAGGACCTAGGAAAAAACCAGAGACCCTGCATCTAATAGAAGAAAAAGTAGGCCCTAATCTTCATCATGTGGGATTAGGCCCCAACTTCCTTAATAAGACTCCTTTGGTGCAAGAATTAAAATCAAGAATCAATAAATGGGATGGATTCAAACTAAAAAGTTTCTTCTCAGCAAAAGAAACAATTTGTGAAGTGAATAGAGAGCCTGCATCTTGAGAGCAAATCTTTACCCCTCACACATCAGATAGAGCACTAATCTCTAGGGTATATAAAGAACTCAAAAAGCTAAGCACCAAGAAAACAAATAACCCAATCAGTACATGGGCCAAGGCCCTGAACAGACACTTCTCAGAAGATGATATACAATCAGTCAACAAATATATGAAAAAATGTTCATCATTGCTAGCAATTAGAGAAATGCAAATCAAAACTACTCTAAGATGTCATCTCACTCCAGTCAGAATGGCAGCTATTATGAATACAAACAACAGTAAGTGTTGGTGAGGATGTGGGGCAAAGTGTGCACTCCTACACTGCTGATGGAACTACAAATTGCTGCCGCCGATATGGAAAGCAGTATGGAGATTGCTTGGAAAACTGGGTATGGAACCACCATTTGACCCAATCCCTCTTCTCAATCTATACCCAAAGGACTTAAAAACAGCATACTACAGGGACACAGCCACATCAATGTTTATTGCAGTATAATTCACAATAGCTAAACTATGGAACCAACCCAGATGCCCTTCAGTAGATGCATGGATAAAAAAAAATGTGGCATTTATACACAATGGAATATTACTCAGCTCTAAAAGAGAATAAAATCATAGCATTTGCAGGTAAATGGATGGAGTTGGAGGAGATAATGCTAAAATGAAGTTAGCCAATCCTGAACACCAAATGCTGAATGTTTTCTCTGATATAGGAGGCTGATTCATAGTGGGGAAGCGAGGGAGAGCATGGGAGGAATAGATGAACTCTAGATAGGGCAGAGGGGTGGGAGGGGAAAGGAGGGGGCAGGGGGTTAGAAATGGTGGTGTAATGTGATAGTCATCATTATCCAAAGTACATGTATGGAGACACGAATTGGTGTGAATATACTTTGTATAAACCAAAGATATGAAAAAAATGTGCTCTATATGTGTAATATGAGTTGTAATGCATTTCGCTATCATGTAAATTTAAAAATTTATTCAAAAATATATATGTGTTATAGAATTATATGTAATTATGTAGACATGTGCTTAATATATACTACAAGGGCTGGAGTTGTGGCTCAGCGGTAGAGCACTTGCCTCGAACGTGTGAGACCCTGGGTTCGATCTTTAGCACCACATTAAAAAATAAACAAGTGAAATAAAGGTGTTGTGTCCAACTACAACTAAAAGTAAAAAAAATAAAAAAAAAATGTATACTACTATTTATATAGGTATCATGGTAGTAAAACTTCTAACATTTGGTAACTTTGCTCTGTGAATAAGGGCTTATTTGAAATTTAAAGATATTTTCTAAAGGTAGGAGAAATTTTGCATATGCTATCCAAAATATTAAAAATTTGATTTCCCTATCTCAAAACAATTTTATTCAGTGCCTACATATATAGTAGTCTTGTATAAGTTCATTACAGAATATTTATTGATTATTAGCTGTAGTAATAAAAGTACTTGGTGTTGCTTTTAACTAAAATTTTTTTATTTCAGGGCTCTCTTCTTAATGTCAAAAAGTAATTTTCAGCCTCCAAAACTAAAGGACAAAACAAAGTGGTGAGTTAATGAATATATGGTTTCATAGAATTTTACAATGGGAAGGAACATAGTTCCTTTATTTTATAGATGATGAAACCAAAGCCCAGAGGCATTAAGCAGTTTGCCCAGAGTTACATCCTAATTTACTTGCACAGTTATGGCAAGAATCTAGGTTTATTTTCCACTCAGTGTTCTTTTATAATTCACTGCTCTTGTTAAACTTGTTTGTTTCTCTTAACTTGGCAGCTTGAGAAAGAGGCATGGTGAGGAAAGATTTGAAATTAATATATGAAGATTTTTGATCTGTATTATTTTACATCCATTAATTATATATTGACTTGCATGGATGATGATGTTTGAAAAGATTTCCCAGATGCTGTTGACACAGTCAGTTTCTCTTGGTTTTTCCTTCTATAAAACTTGAAGAAGGGGCTGTGGCTGTGGCTCAGTAGTAGAGCGCTTGCACTGGCATGTGTGAGGCCGTGGGTTCAATCCTCAGCACCACATATAAACAAACAAGTAAATAAATAAATAAATAAAAGATTGATTGACAACTAAAAAAATATTTAAAAAAAAAACTTGAAGAAGTTATTACTTATTTTCTTCCTAATCTCTCCTTTCTATTATAAAGTAAAGCAGCCTGCGTGGAATTATAGTTCTTAAGAGTGTCATTAGTTAAATGGTGAAAGTCGAAAATTATTTTTTTGGTATTATCTTTTCCACATTTTATAAAATTAACCAGGCAAACAAGTTTCTAAGTTCATAAATTCGAGGGTTCTTCATCCAGATTACATGGATTTCTTGAGGTCTGTGAGCTTCCTGATTCTGTTATATAAATTTTATCTATCTATATATTTAGTTAGTTATTGTAGTTGTAGATGGATACAATATATTTTATTTTATTTTTATTTATTTATGTATATGTGGTGCTGAGGATTGAACCCAGAGCCTCACACGTGCCAAGCAAGTGCTCTTCCACTGAGCTACAACCACAGCCCCATAAATTTTATTTTTCTGGTGAGACAGTCGGTAGCTCATTTCAGATTTAAGACCCCTCCCCCAAGTAGATTCTTAACTGTTAGTTTTATTTAGGAGTCAGGCCTGTCTTGGGATCATGGCAGGAATGAAAGGCAAATTACACTATTGAAACAAAGGAGTTTATATCCTCCTACTAGCTGTATCTGGTTTCTTCCTGTTCCTTATTGTCCAAAGTTTCTAACCATCTGGGAAATGAGGGCTTTACGTCAAAAATGACTGAATGTTTATTCAGGAACAAATGACTATTAGGTACAAATTCCAGATTAGTCATTACCACTGGAGAACCTTTGCCACTCTATGATCCACCTGACTCCATGTTATCTCTGTCAGAAGCCACCAGTTGCAGTGCAGTGATTTGATTCCTCTACTGAGAATTGCCATGTGATTGTAGTCATTGCTAGTCACTGAAGTTACTTGGTTTCTTTGGTTCTTGTCCAGTATCTCCCAGTAGAATCTTGGCAGTGTTGAAAACACTCCTCTTTTTCATGAATAATCAAAACATGATTCTTCTAATTTGTATCTTCTTCCTTTCTCCACTTCATCAATGCATATAGCGGGAAAATCTTTCCAGTTGCTAAAATCACTCCTTATTTATCCTCTCTTCTAAGAAATTAAGTAGCCTTTTTAGGATTTATATAGTCACTTACATTATGTACCCTACCCTTTGTGCCATCCAACTCTTTTGGAATAGCAAAACTTTTTGGTATAGTATAATGTAAATACTGTATAAATTAGGCAATAAGAAAAGTATGTTTTTACTTCTAAGCAGAACATAAATTATATAAATGACACAGCCTACCTAATTGACACTGGTTTCTTCCTGTTCTGATTTGTATGGGTTGTATATTACTGCTCTGTTACCTAATTCCATTGTACTTAAGATACAAAACTGACCCAGATGTTTCTAAGGAATAGACTGTGCTTTGGGTTTAGTTTTTTGGTTTATGTAGAACTGAGAAACGTAAGGAAAAAAGTCCCATGTTTCAGACTTCCTTACTGCTTCTGAGTTCATTTTATTTAGTAACACCAACAATCTAATAATATTAGTAAGATATTTTTGTACATGTCTCTTTTATTTGAAGGTCATCAACATTCCATAATTTTGTCAAAATAGCACTAACTAAAAACCCCAAAAAAAGACCAACTGCTGAAAGACTTCTAACAGTAAGTCATTGGAATTGTGAAGGGATTTCTGGTAGTCATGCAGTAATTAGATATTTCAATAGAACAAAAATACTTAGGTTTTTAATATAAAACTGTAAGTTATCTCTTACAACAGGAGTCAGCAAACTTTCTGTAAGGGAGAAGATAGAAAATATTTCAAATATTGTAGGCAATGAGTCTCTGTCACAACTGCTTACTTTTAACATTGCAGCATAAAAGAATCCGTATACAGTACACATGTATGAGAATATTTTTAATACTCAATAAAACTGTATTTAGAGAAAGAGGCAGTGTACCAGATTTTGCCCTTGCACTATAGTTTACTGACCCCTGCCTTAGAGAAAACTCAAAAATGTTGCCATCATCTAAAATTAACTGTGTTTCTTAGCTGCTTATGTGAATTTATAGTGTGCTCTTTGAGTTTATATATGTATAAAATACTTTTGAATGAGAAAAGTCATAGTAATTAAACAACCTAAGAAATCTTTATAATTTAACTGGATTAAATGTATGCAAATGTAAAGTATATATGCTTTATTCTTACTGTGATTGATGTACCATATTGTGGTATTCACTTTCGTATCAGTGTTATGAGTAATAAATGTCCTTGTTATAGTTGAAGATGTAATCTTACCACCTATCATAGGTTAGACAACTTTACATAGAGAAATTATTTATGTTCTAAGCTTACCCCAAATTTTTTTAGTTATATAATTAACAATTCATTCGCTGATTAATGTTTTTACTAATATTTGAATTAGTAGATGCCTATGCTCGTCTATGCTAGTTATTGAATGAAAGACTACAAATAACATTTTCTATGAGCCATAAAGGCATATTCATGAAATTATTTTGTTTCATTTTTACTTAGCATACTTTTGTTGGACAGCCAGGTCTCTCCAGGGCCCTGGCAATTGAACTATTGGACAAAGTAAACAATCCAGACAATCATGCACATTACACCGAAGGAGACGATGATGATTTTGAGGTAAGAAAATGTTTGTAACCTAATATTTGAAAATAAATGTTTAACATGGCTTTAGAGTTTACTTTCTGATTCACTCTCTCAATTTAGTTAAAATAGTTTAGCAACAAAAGTTAATTAATTATATGAACTATGCTTACTCTACATGTAGTTGTCAGTTCTTGCTTTTTTAAAAAATTGTGCTTTAATATACATAACATAACTTGTCAATATTTTTCTTAATCCTAGTTCTTGCTAGGATTAGTTCTTTTTTCCTTTTTCAGCACATATGGTTTATACATGTATTTTAATATCATACTATACCCATAAAAATATAATTATTAGGGCTGGGTCTGTAGCTCAGTGGTAGAGTGCTTGCCTAGCACATGTGAGGCACTGGATTCCATCTTCAGTACCATATAAAAATAAATAAATAAAATAAAGGCATGTTGTTCATCTACAACTACAAAAAATTTAAATATATATATATAATTATATATATATATAATTATTGCTAATAGACAAATTTTTAAACATTTTAAGATATGGAAATGTTTACTACTCTGATTTGATTATTACACACTGTATATATGTATCAAATTATTACACTATAACCCATAAATTTGAACAATTAAAATAATCAAAAATAAAAATTTTTAAATCTCTAAGCCATTAACCTTTTATTGTCTACATCTACACTACAGTATGGTTATTTCTTCTTAATATGATCTCCTTTCTAGTTTGGTGCCTTTAATTTTTAAGAGGTTAACTCAGTTTAAAGTCAGATATGCCCCCCCCCACATCCCAGAAATGAAGAGGTGCTTTCTCTCCTCACTAGATCTTAGTTTCTGTATGAGAGTTTGATCTTCTTATAGGCCATATATTGACATTATCAGTTTCCTAGGAAATAAAGTTTTCAAGAACATTACTTTGGGGGCTGAGGTTGTGGTTCAGCGGTAGAGCGCTCGCCTAGCACGGGCGCTACCTGGGTTCGATTCTCAGCACCACATAAAAATAAAAAAAGGCATTGTGTTGTGTCCATCTACAAAAAAAAAAAAAAAAGATTCTCTCTCTCTCTCTCTCTCTCTCTCTCTCTCTCTCTCTCTCTCTTAAAAAACAAAACAAAAAAAAATTACTTTGGACAAAAAGAAAAAATTTATCCGTAGCATATGTATATATGATTTTTCATAAAAGAGATTCCTTAGAAATCCATTTGGTCATTTTTGAAGTTTCTCTATTTAATGCTTATCATTAACAGAATGTAAATCATTTTTAAAAAGTAAATTGAAATTCTCATTGGAAAATTTATCATTTCCAATACTTTTTCAGAAGTATCACTTCTTGCCAGGCATGGTGGTGCATGCCTGAAATCCCAGCAGCTCGAGAGGCTGAGACAGAGTTCAAAGCCAGCCTCAGGAATGCCAAGGTGCTAAGCCAACTCAGTGAGACCCTATCTCTAAGTAAAATACAAAAAATAGGGCTGGGGAATGTGGCTGGTCGAATGCCCCTAAGTTCAATCCCTGGTACAAAAAAAAAAAAAAATCTTATGTAATTACGGGCAGGACTATCCATAAATATGCTTACCTTCTATGAAAATAGTAAAGTTATTTTGAATGTACTATATGTAACCACAACTTGTAAATCAGGATGAGGGACTTACTGCTCATTGACAGATACCTCTTTATGACTATATATAACACAAGTATTTTTTGCACCAGGGTCTCTCTTTATGTGTTCTCCTCCTTTTATAATTTGTTTGTTTCTGTGTATCTCTGAATCAGTCTATTTATTTCTCTTTATGCCTTTATTTCCCTTTTATCTCTACCTTTAGTTTTGGCTAAAATCCATAACTGAAGCTTGCATGTTAATTGATTCATTTTTATTAAAGAGAATTTTCTACTTTATGTTCTTAAGTTTTAAATTATACTTTATAAATATCATTACTAAGATTCACTTGGTACTCATTGTGTGCCAAATATTAGGACAAATAATTTCCATATTAACTTTTCTAATTACTCAAAATTGTCCATAGTAGTAGGTACAGTTATTAATGTTCTCATTTGTAAAATAAGGGACTAAGACATAATTTGCCCAAGATCATATAGCTTAATAAGTAGTGGAACCAGGATTTAAATCCAGGTGAACTACTTCTACAGCCTCCTCTCTTATTTAATTTTTAGTGTGCACCATCATTTCTATGTAAGTGCTTAATAGAAATAGTCATTAGACATCTTAGTTTCTGTATTGCCTAGTATGTGATATAGTCCTGTCTACCTAAAGAATACTTTGTTGAATGTTAAATTGACTTTAATTGAAAACAGTAAATAAACTAGCCATACATGGATTTCCATACCCCCCCCCCCCTCATTTGAGCTATCATTTGCAGACTTGGAATTAGTAAATAAGAATTTAATTTCTTGGGGCTGGGATTGTGGCTCAGTGGTAGAGCACTTACCTAACATGTGCGGGGCCCTGTGTTCGAGCCTCAGCACCACATAAAAATAAATGAATGGAATAAAGGTATTATGTCCAACTACAGCTAAAAATAAATAAATAAATATTTTTTAAAAGAATTTAATTTCTTAAAGATTCAAAAAGTATTAAAATTTATAGCATCAGTGTGAATTAGATACTCCTTGATTCCCCAATTCATCTCTCACTGATAATTTTAATATGCAACTCTTTTTACTTTCATACCTCTTTGCTGGGCTTCCCAGATTCCCCCTACTTTCAGAATTCTCACTGTCTCTTTAATGATATTATCACTCTTTATAGTTCTTCAGATACAAAGCCTTCTACCAATTAGTTGGTGGTACAGTGGTTTATGAGACTAACACTATCCCTCTCTTCATGGTGTAGCTGCAGAGGAAATTCAGAAATACCAACACATAATGTCAATGTGTGATAATCTTTATGGAATGGAAATATAGGGTATTATGAAGGCATATAAAAGTGATATTTTTGCTGAAAATCTGAAGGATAAATTGGAATTAGTTGAAGAGAGTAAGAGTAAATATGCTAAGCAGAGGAAACAATATCATATTTGAAAGCCTGGTGATAAGAGAGAAATGGATTTATTAAGGAACTAAAGTATGTCTGGGTAGAGCAGAAAATAAGGAAGGAAATGATGGAAACAAGTTACAAAGCTAGACACTGGTTATCTCAAACCATGTTAAAATTTTAGATTTTCACCTGAGGGCAGGTGTGTTTAAAAGATCTCTATGAATTCAGAATGGTGATTCCATTACTAATCACTTGTTAAGAGACTGTGGAAGTTATTCAGGATAGAGAGAATGATAGTTTAAACTATGGTGGTAGAGCAATGATGAAAAGAAGTGGATTAATTTAAGAATTTTCTGAGAGCTAAGCATGGTGGCAACTCAAGAGGCTGGAGTTCAAAGCCACAAGTTCAAGGCCAATCTCAGCATCTTAGCAAGACCCTCAGTGGGCTTAGCTGTATCAAAAAATAAAAAGGACTAGGAATGTAGCTCAATGGTAAAATACCTCTGGGTTCAGTCCCCACTACTAAAAAATAAAAGAATTTTCTTGAGTTGGTGATTCGATGAAGAATAAGAAATGAGAAAAAAATTACTACCAGATTTTGACTTGAGTAGTTGGATGGATATAAACACGTACTGAGGTAGGAACACTAGAGTAAAATGAGGTTTGGAAACAAAGATGAGCTCAGTTTTACACAGAACAAGATGTTGCACAGACTTTCAAATAGAGAAGACCAGTAAAGAGTTAGATTCATGATTGTAGCCTGGGGAACAAAGTTTCGACTACAGATATAGATGTGAGAGTCATTAGATATACATATAGTAGATGCTTTAAGGAGTAAATGTGATCACCCAAGGGAACCAAATTAGAATGACAGTAGAAGAAAGCTTAGGATAGAATCCTCAGATTTTTCCCAAACTTTGAGGATCAAGTAGGCTAAAGAGATTGATAAGGAGACAGTAGGCCCCGGTCCATCCTGCCACTGGAAGACACCCTCCGGAGCCCAGCCTCTGGCATGGGACTACCCCTTTCAACCAGCAGACAACTGCAGGAGCTCAGGCCAGGACCAGATCTGCCCTCACTGACTTGCCAGGACCCAGGTCCAGGATGCACACTGCAAGAAAGGAAGACATATAGACAACATGAAAAAACAAGGGAGGAAAGTGCCCCAAACAAACCAGGATACTACAATAACAGAACCCAGGGACAGTAGTTCAGAAGGTTCATAATTAAAATGATCTATGAATTAAAGAATAACCTAAATGAGCAAATACAGGTAAAAAGTGATCGCTCCAACAAGAAGATAAGAGCACAAATACAGGTAGCAAAGGATTATTTCAAGAAAGAGATAGAGACTCTGAAAAAATGACAATAATCAGAAATCCTTGAAATGAAGGATACAGTAAATCAAATAAAAATCTCAATAGAAAGCATAACCAACAGACTAGATCACTTAAAAGAAAGAACGTCAGATAATGAAGACAAAGTTTACAATCTGGAAATTAAAGTTGATCACACAGTGAAGACAGTAAGAAACCACGAACAGAACATCCAAGAATTATGGGACAGCATCAAAAGACCAAATCTAAGAGTTATTGAGATAGAGGAAGGCACAGAGTCTCAAACCAAGGAAATGCACAATCTCTTCAATGAGATAATATCAGAAAATTTCCCAAGCATGAAGAACAAATTGGAAAACCAAATATAAGAGGCTTACAGGAAACCAAATGTACAAAATTACAACAGATCTACACCAAGGCACATTATAATGAAATTGTCTAGTATACACAATAAGGATAGAATCTTAAAAGCCACAAGAGAGAGGAATCAGATCACATATAGGGGAAGACCAATGTGTATCAGCAGATTTTTCAAGCCAGATCCTCAAAGCCAGGAAATCATGGAACAGCATATACCAAGCTCTAAAAGAAAATGGATGCCAACCAAGAATCTTCTATCCAGCAAAACTAAGCCTTAGATTTGATGATGAAGTAAAAACCTTCCACGATAAACAAACATTAAAG